ATTTCGCTGCCGCGTCATTTCAGGCTGTTCGTCAGCAAGCGTTAGCGTCGCGTCAGCCTGACCCCATGAGAAGATTCTCTGCCATGGCATTGCAGATGGCATCTGGTAACTTGTTTGTTGGTGGCTGTTCATCTCTGACCAGGGCTGGGCGTCGCAGGGCGCAATGGTCAAGTACTCGCTGCGCTGGCGTCCTTCCTTCATGGGCTTGCTGACCCATGGCTGGTGGCCGGAGACTGGAATGTATCTCCATCCTCCTTAGAGGAGGTCCACCACGGGCCATCGAGATGGGAGGCTCGCTCCTGTTGCCAGATGTTGACCTCGCTTGCGACAGGGGGGGCGTGGGCTCCCTCGTAGACTACGCCATTGCCAAGAACGGCGCTTCCACCAGGTACGGTGTTCGGGCGCAGGTGCACGTGCCATGAAAGGCGCATCGTGCCTTACAGATCGACGTTCACGACGGCATGCGTAGGTGGTGTTACCGAAGTTACAGTTGCCAGAACCATTTCCCAAGGTGGCCAGGCCAAGGGTCGCGGCAGACCCCAACAGCAAAACCAAAGCGCAGCGACGAGAGCATGAAAAGGGCCCACGTCCCACCTGATCTTTTGGAATACTAAGACGCCGTACACAACCAGCGGATGTCGACGGATGCCAACCCGTCGGTCGATTTTCACACCCCACTGGAGTTGTGGGCGCCTCCACTTTCAATTTCAGAGCTCAGCACTGAGTGCCGCTACGTGGCCGACTCGCATTTCCTGGGTCGGGTCAATCCGTGCGGGCTCGGTGCCGTCGCCAGCCAGTGCGCGCAGCGGTCTTCCAGCGTGGAGCGCGCCTTCGCGCTCCACCAGCAACTTGAAGCACCATTGACAGTGGCCCGAGCTCACGGTTTCTCACTTTGCTTGAGACAAACTAAGTCGACCCCAGGACGAGCCCACATGACAGATGGGCCGGGCGAATGGCGGGGCACAGTCCATACAGTTGTTCAAAGGCTAATCGCCCTTCGTGGGCGTGGTCTTGCAGCGCTCAGTCGTCGCGCATCGGGAGCTGCCAGTTTTGACCCAGCCAGCTATTTCGGACAAGGACCTGAAGGAGTCGCAGATCAGCAACGTTGGCTTGATTGGTCTCGAGCCTTCTCGGGAGCGACCAGCCTCGAGCGCGACGACTTCACCTACTTTGCGGAGAGGCCGGCTTGCCGTTCTCAGGCCAGATGCCTCACCTTAAGGCGGCGTGCATTTGTGCGCTGGGCCAAGGAGAAATGGCGTTCCCAGCCAGGTCATGTTCACTCGGTGGTCAAGGGCCCCAAGTCTGTCACAGCGCACCCAGTGATTGACAATCGGGTCGTCGGTGGCCCGTTCGTGCGGATGCAGAACACCCGAGCTACCTGGAACCGCTTGTGGCGAGATTCAGTTGATACCCCATATGACATCCTCAGCATGTTCAAACGCTTACACGCGCAAAGTCGAGGGGAGGATCTAGCTCTGTTGAAATTGGAGCAGATTGACAAGGTCCTCCAGGCGCTGGGCACCGAGGCCAGCGGGGTTGATTCCATCATGCCCTTAGATCTACAGCGACTTCCTCGGGAAGGTCGCCAGGCTTATTGCGACCTTCTGAACAGCATCGAGCAGGAGGGAATCTGGCAAGCGCAGACACTGGCGTCCATTGGAGCATGGCTGCCCAAACCCAAAAGAGGGGAGAGGGTCGTTGGCCTGCTTCCTGAGACAGCGAAGATCTGGAGCCGGGTCCGATACGGAGTTGCCTCCACGTGGTCGCAGGAGTTATCGGACTTTTGGGGCACTGCAGTGGCTGGCAGCAGCTCTCTCAGAGCGGCGCTCCTTCGTGCGCTGCTCGATGAATCGGTAGTGGCTCTTGGGATTTCAGCAGCCACCTACTCCTAGACGTCAAGAAATTATACGACTCGCTGTCCTGGGTTTTGACCGGGAAGGCGGCGCTCGACCTCAAGTTCCCCGCCATTGTGGTATTAGTGGAGCTGGAGTTACGCGCGGGCCCACGCTATCTTCGAGGCAACCTGGGTGCCTCAGACGCCATCTTCGCCACCCGATCTTTAGTGGCAGGTTCTCCTCGCGGAGCGCGAGTGGCCGAGCTCTTCCTGCGCCCCTTGATGCAAGCGGCGCGCAACAGGGCCAGGTTCGCCACTTTCTGGGCCTTCATCGGCGACGCAGTTGCTCGCGCAGCAGGTCCGCAGAATAAGGTCCAGGTTGTTATTCTCAGCGCCGCAGTGGTGCTCGCCGATCATGCAGAATATCCTCGACTCGCAAGGGGCCTGTGGACATCGGGCCCAAGGCATGTCACCATTTTGCATTCTGTCTCTCAGGCGACAGGCAGCCACCGCAGAGTTTGGGCCGATGAAGTGGCGGTGCCTTGCCACCACCCTTGCACTCCTCTACGGCCCCAAGGACCCTGGCCTCGAGCTGAGGCGAGGCTTGTTGGCCGCACACCTCTGTCTTTGGAAGACCGACATCAGCATCCACCATCGAGTTAAACT